GGACTGTTGGGAAGGTATTCATGGCAGGTTTAGTGCTCACATCCATGCATACCTCACTCTACAGTCAAAGAGATGGGAGTGGTGAAAACTGGAGATGGAAAGAAGGAGAAAAGAGATGGAAAGAAGCAAATGAAAATCAAAGAAAAATCAATAGCAAAGAAGAATAAAACAATAAGGAATGAAAAAGAATATTTTTAAAGCAAATCGCAAAGGCTCCACACTACATGATTTGACGAGAATGTTTCCTGAATGTGAAGTGGCTAGACCCATTGTTACTGCAGGTGCGGCCGGGGTAGGAGTAGAATAGCACTGTGGGGAGTGGGGCGGTCAATACAAATACACTGCCCAGGGGGTTGTCAGCAACTACAGAAAAATGTCCAAGTTTGTCAACAAGACCAAAAGGAGTAGGCACTACACTGCTGTGAGACGGAAGTCCTGAGGTTGCACCTGGATATTGGTGTCACTGTGAGAAGGACAAATGAATATATGGCATGAGTCAAGAACATGTTCTGTTCTAGATATCCTGGTGAACTCTACTTTAGTATAGGAGAACGTGTTTTAAATGCATGGGTCATGCAGGTGAAACATGGTAACAGAGTCAGATTGAATGGTTGAATGATATGCTTCAGATAAGTGTATTTCTTAGCAGTTTGATGGGGGATGTGTCTTTCTGACAATATGTAGCATAAATGTCCAAACTGTAATGCTTTAAAAATGCAATTATCATCAGCATCATAAAAATTTTAGTTGACTGTTGACTACCATATTGTCAGAACTAAATGTGGTATGAAGCCAGGTTTTGCAAATGGAGAAAGACCTTGGATAGGCCCTTCATCTATTTGAAGAATCAGGATCTCCCCTTCTTAAAGTATGCTCTAATCCTTGGAGAATGGTTGACAACTCCGTACAAACAAACCGCACGGCGACAGGTCTCCACAACTGTCACTCCCTCCCAGCCTCTGCCACTTAAGAAGTATATCTGCACCTCCCTGCCTAACAAAGCTGCCCTGTCAGCCTGGCTCCCTCCTGTCAGTCATACCTATTAACCTGCTCTCAACCTGTCCTCACCTGGCTTGTTTGCACCATCCATGTGGAACTGAGCTGGCTCCAAGCATAAGCACTCATGTTTGAAGAATCAATTTATGCCCAAAAGGGGCAGTTTTGTGTGTGTGTTTTGGTTTAGCCTTTCCACCTAGCATAAGCCTTCCTTTTGTGCTGGCTTTTTGCATAGGTGAGACCTCAGGCACTAAGTCAACAGGTGAAGAGACTTGCTCAAGAATGATGGACAGGTCAACTCATAAATTATACAGATGTGCCAGTGGTGAATTCATCACTCAGCACTGTGAAGTCCCAAATATTTATTGAAAACATCACATGTACACATGTAATACCACTTGCCTTAACTGTTGATAGACAAGATATGTAAGCTCAGGTGGTGGTCTTCATAAAGTGTCTTCTGATTGACATACTGTAGCTGTAGATTTGAGAGCGAATCATCTTTTCTTTCAATTTCTTTATATGCGCTTTTTCAACTGCAAAATGGAAATATCAGTATCAAATACACAGACATGTACATTGTATAGCTGTTTGTTCTCATTACTGCTGGTTACTGCAAACAAGTGGCTTTCTCTTCTCACAGAATTTTGTGAGAAGGTACAACTCAATGGAAACTGCAATGTTGTACATGTTCCATTTGCTTCTGGATTAGTAAGTACATAAGTTAAGAAGATAATCATGAAAACAGGCAGATTACATCACCTGGTACAACAATTGATAAATGACAAGAGAACTACAGAGACATTTTTCAACAAACCTTGGAAGTTATGCGTGTAGAGCATCTTGTTACAGTTGGTACTGATAAACAAATTAAAACATTCCACCCCCAAAGCACATTTTCATTAAGCTGAAACGGTTTGACACTATACAGCTCAGTAAGTCTTCATCTATGGTAGTACCTTTGGAGAACACAGACATGTTAGAGGGCCTGCAAGCCTTTTTTCGTAAGGCGTAATCAGGCCGTTTTAGACTTCGTAATTCGTAGGCAGCCTCCACAAAAATTAACGTAATTCGTAATAGGACATTACCAGCAAATCGTAAAGTCGTAATCAGCTCTGAGACTTTAACGTAATTCGTAATAGGCGGCGAAAATTTTGCGTAATTCGTAATCACTACCCCCCCTTGCAGGCCCTCATGTTATAAAGTATCCTTATTGTTCCCTGCAGGCTGCTCAGAGAGAAGTGGAGAAGGACTTTGACTCAGTGTACTCCAGACTGGTGCTGTGTAAAACATACAGGTGAGAGACAGAACCCATCACAGCACAGACACTGCTCACACTGTGTATCTTTGTATCCCATTCAGGGAAGATTGTCTGTGGTAAGAAATCCCCACTTGAAACAACAGAAAGTTTACTTACTAACAAATAATACCCAGAGGTAATTGTTTTGAGTGCATGTGTGTGTGTGTGTGTGTGTGTGTGTGTGTGTGTGTATGTAGTGTGTCCAAAGGTATTTGAATGCAGTAGACTAGCAGGAACAGAGTCACAAATTTTGTACCTACAGATTGACAGGAAGGTCCACCCAGTCTGTTTCTGCAGTTAGTGCTTGACACAAGAAGTCCTAGACCCATTGTTGTTTGCCAAACCTTCTCTTTGGTTGTGCCAATAAATTCTCAAAAATACTAGATACTTCCTGGAGGTTTGAAATCTCCAGTTTCCTGTTGTTGTTTCAGTTCCTTGTGATAAAGATTTAACCAACACAAAACATTATCACATTATCTCGTGTAATAGTTACCATGGAAATAGATAGACAAACAGGAAGGTCGAAGCATAACAAACTTAGTTGCTAGGATACATCTCAGCAACAAACGAACTGACAAGGACAGTTTCTTGTTTGCTGTTAGCTGTGACATTTTGTTAATGTGCCTATCTCCTGTTTGACAGTTGTACACAGCTATATGTCTGGTATTTGAGCTGTTAAAATGTTATTGGTGATTGATACTGTCCCTATGCAGATAGTGGAAATATCATATTATATGAATAATGAACATGTTGATAGAAAGCACATGTATCATGCAGGAACTGAAAGTATTATCTTTACAGACTCATCTCATTGGTACTGGGTTTTGAAACAGGTATTTGTCTGAGATAAAGACTGAGCCAGTTAGCATTGCATCAGATTCTGTAATACTAGTTGAGAACATATGTGTATGTCACATATAACATTTCTAGAACGGAAGTTGAAAGTTTAGTCAACATTACCGACACGGTCCGACAACGTACCTAAATCCCAGCTCCGTGCCGAGATTGGCCTCCCACTGAGACCCAAAGCCATTTTAGTGACAAAAGATCTGTTTCAGCTTCAACAGTATGATTCCAAGGAGAATTTTTATTCCCACCACTACAAACACAGTGACTGTGTGGGACATTACGTCACTGCTCCTGCTGGTATGGTCTTGTGACTGTATTAGTCTAATTCTTCTGTGGACTGAAAACAATATGAAGCAACAAAACATTCCTACTCAGTGACAACAATTTTTTCACCAATTAAAAATCTGTCATGTTTGGTCGAAAGAGTTGGGTATGAATTTTTTTCTAATTTTGGTTGAAAATTTGCAGCCTAACATTTATTGATTGGAATTTACCTCAGGAATGTTGTATTTGCAACTGTGGTCCTCTTCAGCGCTAAATATAGAAGGCTCCTTTCAGTGGAATAGTTGGTCTGCCATCAAGTTGATGAAATGGTCCATTGCTCCTCCATCCTCAGCTGCCTCAGAGCAAGTCAACCGTCAACACCTGCCCTATAAGCTGTCAATCAGCTGTCAGCAGGCAGGGTGGTTACACTTCACGGGAGGCTGACTCCTGCTGAACCTGCTATGCCCTTGCCAACCTGAAGTGTGCTTCACTAACGCCACTTTGAAAGGGGGGGTTATACATTGTACCACCCTGGGTCACCATGTCTTGAAAAGAAGAGACAGGCACAGAGAAATTAGCAAGTGCTAATGAGAGTCAAGCAATCACACAGAAAAGAATAGCTTTCTTTTGGTGTCTTGTGGATACAGTGCTCATGTTCCTGTACATGTATGTGCATACACATATAGAGCTAGAAGGAATGTCTTTAATCTTCAGTATTTATGTAGACAACCTGTCTTTGGACCATGTCCCTCTTCCTCCTGTGTACATAGATAGCAACCCTAGAGGATGTGGCTAACCCTTTTAACTAA